ATACTATCTCATAATTATGACTTAGCTATCTCATAATTATGACTTAGCTATCTCATAATTATGACTTAGCTATCTAATAATTATGAGATACTATCTCATAATTATGACAAACTATCTCATAATTATGACATACTATCTCATAATTATGAGATAGCTAAGTCATAATTATGAGATAGCCAAGTCATACTTATGAGGTAGCTAAGTCATAATTATGAGATACAAGTTTTATTTATTTTTTATCAGGGTGGCGGAAATGGGCTTCCATACAAACCCACATTTCAGAATGTCTTGTAACCTGAAAACCCAAGTGGAATAAAATCTCTCAAACTACACCATTTAAAATAGCTCAGGATAACTTTTCATATTTTATTCTAAAGTTTGCAATGAGTACCTTTTAAGATACAAGAAATTACTGTTATAAACAGAAAATATTCGTAAAAACAAAAACATGTTACCTGCAGCACAGCATCAGCAAACAGAAGATAAGAGCTGAAAGTAACATTCCAGTCAGAAAGGGGATAACTGTTCCAGGTTGGGTGATACTTCGCAACATTTTTGTGATTTGGTCTTCTATAATAAAATAAAAAAAATAATTAAATAAGATTGTGATATGTCATAACAAGCTGTTTTACACTTTACCAATGCAATGTGCAAAGAGCTATTACCTTTATCTGCTTGTTTTATAATAAGATTCCTTTTTGTTTCTCCATTTTCATTACTGCTGACACACACAGCTGGAGCCCAGCGGTGGTTGGCTGCAGTTAGGACGAGGGTGCTTTTCACCGAGTGCTTTGACACTGCGGTGTTAAAGGAGAACTCAGTTTGGTTCTCCAGCAGCCATTTGATGGTGGGTGCAGGAATCCCCTGACTGATGCACACACAGGTCAGGGTGTCCAGCTGAGCCTCACATCCAGACTTTGTTAGAATCTCAGGTCGCACTGCAAGGAGCCAGAATATGAAACATTAAGTGTCTGCGACCGGCACATCCTTCAAATACAAAACATTAAAAAAATTATATTTAAGAAACTTGGCATAACATGCATGATTTTACTTATTTTGTCACATAACTGGCCTAGTTACCTTTTAACTTAGCTCAAAGTAAAAAAAGAAAAAAATTGTATAGGTCTTCTGGACGGGTTCTTCTCTAATGAAAAATTCACAAACAGGATGTACCGGTAAGACCCAATGTTAGCACGATCAACTCTGTCACTTACAATGGGCCTCATGCAAGAACCGTTCGTACGCACAGATTTGTTCTTAAGTTG